TTTAATTTTTTAGATTTGATCTTTATTATTTTGATTATTATTTATTTTATTTGAGATAATTTATGAAATTATATTTTTTTCAATTTCATTCCCATTTAATTTTTTATTTTATAAGATTTATTCCTCATTATTTTAATAAATTTTAAAAAAATAAAATATTAATAAATTATTTTCAACTTATTTTTTATAACATGATAAAATATTGGAAAGTGTTATCTGACTTATTTTTTATTACACTATTAAATATAAAAAATAATTTACTTTTTTAGAATTTATTTTTTTAAAATATTACTTTTAATAGTGGAAACAAAATGACCAATGAAAAAAAGTTTATCAAACTGCTTTTATTTTTTTAAAAAATTATTTTTAATAGTGAAAACAAAATTATTAATGAAAAAAAGTTTATCAAACTGGTGAGGAAATCGAAGAAGCTGGCTGCTCTTAGCCGAAAAAGAATCACAATGCCAACAACCATTGGGGAGGTTGTTGATGAAGATGGTTGCAGCACATCATCCACCGTTGAGAGGGGACACCTTGTTGTTTACAGTAATGATCGGAAACGGTTTGTGCTTCCATTGGAATATTTTAGCAACACGATTGCTAGAGAACTATTCAAGCAAGAAGAAGATGAATTTGGATTGCCAGGCAACAGGCCTCTGACGTTGCCTTGTAATTCAGTCTTTGTGAAATATATAATTAACACGATCCAGAGACCTGTAACCAAGGACATGGAGAAAGCACTGCTCCTGTCCATGGCTAGCAGTTGCAAAACGCTTTTCAAAATTTTTATTTTTATTTTTAAATTAATTTAATATATTTTTATTAAAAATAAATTTTTATATAGGCCATTTCACCCAAGCCCAGATCCACGTAGAATCGTCCGTCTCCAGCATGACGTGCGCAACCCCCGCTATCCCACCTGCCCTTCCTTCCATATTCAACGTTCAAAACTAAAGTAAATAAATAAATATAAATACCACCCCTGTGGACTCTACTACAGGTAGAAGAAACTAAAATTCAGCAGGCTGCAAACATCAGATGGTTGGCCCAACCTGGCGCTTTGTTTGCAGAAATGAAAATCTTCTTCTTCTTCTTCCCTCTCCTCGTTTTCTCTCTCTCTATCTCCTCTTCCATCGCTCGCGGCCCTCTCCATTCTTCTCTTCCTTCAGGTCAGTTCCCTCTCTCTAAAATATCGGTTCCGCGGTTTATGATTGTTGTTTTCGATTTCGATTACGATTTAGGTTTTAGTGATGATCCGCAAAATAATTGCATTGTTTTATTTATTTATTTTCCAGGTATTAGAAATGGTAGTAGAATTAGTTATTCGGATTCTATAAGGAGGCAGTTATTCCAGGATAAACCGTCTAAGTTAAGGTACTTTACGATCTCATTTTCTTTTTTTAATTGATTTTTTAAAGCTTATTTTTATTTGATTTTTTATGCTTTTTGAATATGCGTAGGTTTTTTTTTTTGAAATTTAAATGTGGCAAAAATTTGTGGGAACAGTGATGATAGAGCTAAAGGATACATGACTAACTCTGATCTTGAAAAGGCTGTCAAAGAATTCGGTCGAAGATGCAGTAATATTTCTAGAATTTACAGGTTATTCTCATGATTCTTTGCTGGAAATTAATTGCGGTGACACTGTTTCTATTGAGTTTTGATACATAAATGATTCGGGAAGTGATTTATATACTTGGAGGTTTTGTCGAATATAGTTTTTTTTTTGTTGGTTTCAAGGTGATTTTGCTGACGTGTTTGTTTCTCTCGTTGAGGGATTCCTGGAATGGATAAATCAGTATTGGAAAGAGTGTCCATGGAGTTCCACTGGTAATTGTTTCACTCTATTTAGTTCCCTCTTTCCTATTTTTTTTACCTGCACTACATATTTCTTACAAAGGTGGTTTCTGATTTTTTTTGGCTGTAGTGGGTTATTGAGATTTCTGACAAGCCTGGGGAGGAAGAGCCTGAACCTGCTTTCAAGGTGAATGATCTTTTACAGCCATATGCATGTATGCAATGTGTAATATTTGCTGCGAGCAACTAGGTGACTGAATTTTTTTTTTCCTTTTGATTTCTCAGTTCATTGGAAATGTCCATGGGGATGAACCTGTAGGTCGTGAGCTTCTGTTATGTCTCGCTAATTGGATATGTGATAACTATATGAAGGATTCCTTGGTATTTCTCTTCTCCTTTCATTACATGTCTGCATCTAAAGTTTTTGAACTTTATTTTGCAGTTTAATTGCATGTGCTTTTTTTTCCCAACTTCTATTAGCTGCACATTTATTCTTTGGTTTCTATCCATGTCTTCACTATCTCCTTTACACTTAGGAGTCTTTGACAGACTCTATGTGTCTTCTTCCAGGTGTAATCCATTTTTCTTTTCTAAATTAAGCCAAATTTACTGCCATCAAGAAAGGCTAAGAATTACAGTATTGATCATTTGTGACCATTCCTGGTCACATTATATGAACATTTGCTTACAAAACTTTTTCTTTATTTGTTTCGTATCCTTGTTTCAGAAGCTCTCATAGGTAACATCATGTTTGCATTCAATTCTTCTAGTCAAATTAGTCTGATGAATATAGAAATTTCCTGTTGCTTTGTGCACCGGTTAATAACTTGCACTACTGCAACAAAGCATGCTTCACAGAAATATCTGGTTCATTTTCAAGTCTTCTGTTATCTTACAGGCCAGATTGATTGTAGAAAATATTCACCTTCATATTCTTCCATCCATGAATCCTGATGGTTATTTTTTGAGGAGCCGTGGTAATGCTAACAATATTGATCTAAATCGAGATTTTCCAGACCAGGTACTTCATTGTTGTCACAGATTTTGTTATTTTCTTGGGGCAAATCCAGATATAACCTGAAATCAATTTATTATACTCTGCTATGATGAGGATGAATACTACAATGTGTAACATGTTACAGTTCTGCTCTGCATGTTTTTATCTTATGACACAAGTTGCAATCCTGACTGATAAAAAAACTTTTAGAATCTCTGAATCGTTTTACCATGTCAAAAGAATTCTAATTGGAGTAATTTCTGGAATATATTTTTCATGCAAGTACTATGATTGGGTTCCTTTTCTTTTAAGAGATGGACTAGGAGGGGAAAGAAAGAAAATAATAAACAGTTTGAGACTAATAGCATTGCTAAAATATTAATATGTGGGATTAACTATATAATTGTGGTTTTGATAGTATTTTGTCCAACAAGTGGTCCAATCATTGGTTCTGAACCTTTCAGGTCGAGATTGAAATTCAAATAATACTCACATGTAATACATATGTTGGAACTTGAACATTTTTTCTGTGACTGAAATGATCTTATCTACCAGAACCTAGTCCTTGTGTCCAAATTGTTTGATCCACTATCAAAGAAAATTATAAAATTGCCATAATTGTGAAATGAAATGTTCCTGCATGTTGCTTTATTTTATGAACTAGTTGAATTTTGTTCTACATTTCTTTTCTAGACTCGGTTGTGAGTGAATTATGATAAAGAATTAACCAAGATGAAATGCCAGTTCTTTCCACTCAATAATGACATAAATGCACGCCAACCAGAAACAAGAGCAGTTATGAATTGGCTGAGAGAGATACAATTTTCAGCATCTGCTAGTTTGCACGGGGTAATGCTTTGACTCCTTTTTTTCCATTATGTTACGAATTTGGTGAAAAGCATGTACATACCATGTTTTTTTTGTTATTAAAAATAATTTAATATTTTTGTTTTTTTAAGCTAAGAGTGATAGGCACTTAATTTGGCATGTTACCGTGTACTTTGTATGTTGTGATTGAATTAAAAGACAATTTTTAATTCACATGAAGAGGGGTGAAGTAATCATATGGGTATGTGAACATCTGCTGGTTCTTATATCAATATGTGCCCAAAATCAAATTTTTGAACATTGCAAGTGGCATTCTTCTTGATCAGAAATGGAAGACTTGATCTTCATTCATTCACATCTGTTCATCCTGAAATTTAGAACTTGTCTTTTCTTCCTTCTTTACATCTTTACATTTTCAACGTATCATTGTTGCTGGGTTGACTTGTCCAGCCACTTTCAGCTGATTCTAAAGAAATGAACTTTTTTATGGGCTTTTGTGAGTGCTACTAGGTCGTTGAAAACACAGGGATGGGGATTTGTCTTGCTTAATCATACTTCTTAGTCTTGCTTCTTGTTATT